CTGCACTGCCTCAAATGATCTCTTGTTACAGGAGGCACTTCAGAGACAGTACATTACTTCAAAAATAAAAGCGTTTTGTGTAGCAGTAACACCAATGACGTATTTTGGGTGACTGACATTTATTGGATATTATTAATAATAATTTTTTTTTACCATTTCAGTGTTATATTTAATGTATGTAATGTTATGTAAATATGAATGAGATCTATTTATTGAAAAAAATATTTTGCCTCATGTTTGGCCGGGTGCCACGTCTCATATATTTTAAATGAAAACTATAGGCTCCACTTCCATGTACAGTATGATCAAAGTGACAAGGCAGTTCCTTGAACTTGGCATTTTAAATAAATTGCAATTTATGTATAAACCAATTGTTTTATTTAGTAGCCTACCATTGCAAAGACAATCTCTATTTATTCAACATATATAATGAATGTGAGTATTAGGTCAACGTCATGTCTTTTGGTGTCTGCAAAAGTAAGTGACAGTACTTCCACCTTTTCTGTTGAATGACCAACCTACTTTGGCGTTTTGCTCCCTGCAAAATATCTTCGGACTTTCTTGGACTGATTGAGCTGGCCGAGCCGCAGGCCATCACCGACGGACCTGTGAAGCTTTACAGGAGGCTGAGTGAGGATCACTGGAGGACAAAGTTGGTCGCAGTGTGCACAAACTACGGAACTGGCTGCGGAGGGAGACTCCCCTGCACATTCTGGAGAACTGCGCAAAATCAGCTGATCGCAACATTCACGCTCTGTGGTCAAGCTGCTGCAGTTTTATTTACAACAAAGTGGAACAAAACGAGCAAAACACAGCTGCAAACTTACTCAGGGTGTTAATGGAAGAGTTTTAAATCAGACAGAGGTGGAAGAAATACGCAGATCTTGTATAGGAACACTCAGTGAAAGTTCTGCATTCCAAATGTTACTCAAGTAAAATTAGAAAAAGTATTATCATCAAAATATAGTTAAAGTACCAAAAGTAAAAATAGTCATTTTGCAGATAAAGGTGCAGCCAGTTTGAATGACTTTGTATACTGCAGGAGCTTGTGAATTTACGCAGGTGGAACTAAAGTCGGATTTAAGACTTGATTATATTTCACATCATTCATCCACATCTGTAAAGTCACTAAAGGTAGGCCTATTACATAAAAGTAGTGGAGTAAAAGTACACCATTTACCTCGACCCCGGCCTGAAGTAGAGTACACTTATGCAAGTAGGCCTATACTACTTAGTTACTTCCCACATCTGAAATCAGATAGGCTATTACTTCAAGTCATGTGATAATTTCTTAGTATTTTATCCTTCAACTTGGCCTCAGGAAATGCAAGGACTTCACATTTTTGGCAACACGTTTTGGAAAAAGCAAATCGGAGTACGCTGTCTCCTGGTACTCATCTGAGTAACTTGTTAAAAAAGTTATGTGCATCACTGGCCATATTTGATTCGATTATGCTGTTCTGCCTGCAACAACCAGTTTAGCCAGCTCTTGACACACACAAAACAAAAACCGGTGTGTTTTTCTCCACTAGGCCGCCAGCTCTGAGGTTATTCCGCGACGAAGTCCTGCTGCTTTCAACAGTTTATAACCCGTTGTCAAATTTCCGTTGTCAACCTCTTTAGTATTAGTACATTTAAATAATATCCTACTTGTATATTGTGTTAGCTGCAATGTGTCCCTTCAGTAGCGTTTTATTTGTCAGATAGTTTCAAGATTGTTATCTTTACGGTGTTCATATTTCATAATTGTTTATTTTCTACTCTTTTTAATTTCTTTACGGAGTTCATATTTTCATAATGGTTTTTTTTCTACTCTTTTTCATTTCTAATGATGTGCAACGCCTTGTTTTACACTGCTGTTAGGAAAACATGTCCCAATTTGGGATCTATAAAGTATATCCTATCTTATCTAATCTTATTTACTAAATATCTCTAATGTTGTGGTGACTGATGTTGCACTCTCTGATCATTCCTTTGAGAGCTCTATTTCTGTTCACACACATGTTCAAAAAGAGGTAACCACAAAGCGATATTTAACTGAAAGTACTAGGGAAATGTTTACTCAGAATTTTTCTTCCGCACTCGCCCCTGCTAACATCTCAGTAAATGAGCTAGTAGATCATTTTAATTCAAAAATTTAAAATGTTATAGATGCCATTGCTCCAACTAAGGTAAAGGAAGTGACTGGCAAGAAAATATCTCCATGGAGAAAGGCAATGACCGTGAAAACAGAGAAAAGAGAGTGTCGAAAAGCTGAACGCAGGTGGCGAAAAACAAATCTCCAGGTTCACTTTGAAATCTATAAAGAGAGACTTGGCCTTTATAATTTGGAATTGAAAAACACACGACAGTCTTTCTTCTCTGACATCATTACCAAAAACAAAAACAACGCACGTGCCTTGTTTGCTACCGTCGACAGACTAACTAACCCCCCAGTGTCAGTAGCCTCTGAATTTCTATCCACCAGGGCGTGCAATGATTTTGCCTCCTTCTTCACTGACAAAATTCAGAAAATCAGGCAAGCAGTCAGTGCCTCTGTATCAGGTACAGCAAATGTGTTGTCTCTGTGTCCACCTAATATCAATTCAAACACCATGACACAATTCCATCACATTAATGATAAAAACCTAGAGGACATTATTCAACTTCTGAAATCCTCCTCCTGCTGCCTTGATATTATTCCAACAGGATTTTTCAAATATGTTTTTCCTTGCATGGCCTCAGATCTACTTCATATAGTAAACAAATCTCTTCACTCAGGTGTTTTTCCACAGGCCCTGAAAACTGCAGTCATTAAACCGCTCTTAATAATAATAATCTAGATGCTTCAGTAATGAACAATTAAAGGTCCATATCAAACCTGCAATTTCTAGGTAAAATCATTGAAAAAGTTGTTTTTCAACAGTTGAGTAATTTATTGCATTTAAATAACTGTTGCGATGTGTTCCAGTCAGGCTTTCGTCCAAACCACAGCACTGAGACTGCTCTTGTAAAGGTCTTCAATGACATCCACTTAAACACAGACAGTGGCAGAACTTCAGTGTTAGTATTATTANTTCTACAAAACTGCAACCAGTCCGTCGGAAAAGCTCAATTGTTAGCAAAGGTGTAGGCATACTCCCAGTGTCGTTTACTTACCACTCTTCGATTTGTAGATAATTAATCAAGTTACTGTACCCTCACCCTCTTATCCACACAATCGCAGAACACCAACTATAGTTTACGTTCTCCTGTTTGTGACATCTGTGTGAGTGTAGTCTACCAATTCAAAAATAAGTGTTGTTCAGTTGCCACAGCGTCATTTTCAGGGTTCTTCGAGGACCCACGTATATTAGCGCGCGCAGAAGTCGTTCGTAGTGATAATAGTAGGACGTACGTTAATTTCACTACAAACGCGTACACTATTCGACACAATCTCTTGTCACAGGCTCGGCCGTCCATACCACTTGACGTTAGTGTAAACCCAAATAAAGGTTCGACCTTGTGTAATAGCAAACAGACGTTTATAGGGTTAATAGTAAGAAACAGAATAAAGGTATAAAGTCCCGATGTATAAAAACAGCGAGTCCCTCGTTATTATTGCAAACTCTCGCGAGAGTTTTACACTAGACGGATCCTTTCTAGCCATAACCCTCTAGCAGGGACTGAAAAGGGGGTAAAAAAGGGTCAGATGAACTAATTTTAGTTCCGGCTCTTTTTGGTGTGAACGCAACATTTCGGAACTATATCAGAACTAAAGTGGGAAAAGTACTGCGGTGTGAACGCGCCGATGGCGCGTGCCGGAACCAACAACCAGCTTTTACCGTAAATGAGTTAAGTTCAGAGGGTAAAACACATACAACATTAATTCAACTCGATATTTGTTCACTTGAATTTCACTTTGAATGCTTGGATATTCTCAATGGGTGAATACATTTTTTTATAATAATAATTAAAAAATTAAAAATTACACCGAAGCTTTCTCAGGGTGGGCCAATTAGTAAACTATGGTGGCTACGCCACTGCTCCACACCACTGTACTGTTCCTATCTTTGATTTGATCATTCAAAATGAGGGTGGAAATGAAAGACAATAATAGTTTATTCTAAAAATCCACAAATTCCTCTTTGCAGTTTCGATATGCCACTGGAAAAGACACCGTGATGATGGTAGTTGGGGGGTTGTGTGCCTTCATACACGGTGTAGCGTTACCTCTCATGCTTGTAGTATTCAGCCAGATGACAAACATATTTGTGGAGTACCAGATTGAGATCGATACACTGCGAGACCCAAGCAAGGAATGCAGCAACAACACCATCTATTGGAAAAATGGCTCCATATATGAACCAGCTCAAAACAGCACTGTGTACTGTGGGTAGGTTTTTAGTTAACAGTATATTGTTACAATTGAAAAGCTGCTGTTACTCATTTTATTCTCTCTGCAGGGTGGATATTGAATCAAAGATGACCATATTTGCATATTACTATGCTGGAATTGGAGTAGTAGTCTTGTTTACTAGTTATTTTCAGGTATGTATTTATGCTTGGCATATTCTGCTTTACTTTAAAAGGGAACATTTCTCAAGATGGTGTTACTTACCATCTACCATTTACCATCTTATGTCAAAGAAATTATTTTTTACCACCCTCATTCTTCACTATAGATTTTCTTCTGGGTGTCATCAGCCACAAGACAAATTCATAGAATGAGAAAGGACTATTTCAGAAAAGTAATGCGAATGGAGATCGGATGGTTTGACTGTAACTCAGTGGGTGAACTGAACACAAGGATGACAGAGTGAGTTTCTGCTCTTTATCTGCAGGTCAGGCTGTTATCAGCTCATAGCAGGGGAAATGTTTTTCACAGATAGTGTTTATTTTCCTTTATAGTGGTATCAACAAGATAAACAATGCCATCGCTGACCAGGTGTCTACCTTCATTGAGAGGATCTCAGCGTTTGTGGGTGGCTTCATGGTGGGATTCATTGGAGGATGGAAGCTCACTATGGTTGTCATAGCAGTGAGCCCGCTGATTGGAGTGGCTGCTGGACTCATGGCCATGGTAAAGTTGTGAATCCAAAACGATTTCTTACTGCTATGCTGGATGAAAGTACATACAGTACAGTTTTTGTGCAGGTTTAGGTAACACTTTCTATAATGCCCATGTATTAATATACTTATGAATTATCTTATCGCAGGTTATAACTATGTATACACTCTTTAATCACAACAGTTTACAAAGCACTTTATAAGGACCAATCATAATATAAAGCATCAAAATACTTTATAACCGCTGGTCACTTAGTGAGAATTTATATTAAATTATATTTATGCTAGGATAAACAATTAATTATGTATAGTCCTCCATACAGCCAATGGCCACTTAGTTAGTTATCATGATATATTATCATAGGATTCAAAAGTATTATAATTTTTTTTACAATGTATTATATTCTATGGCGGGAATTATAATGCACCTAAAAAAATCAGTGAATGACAATTCTAAAGTATGATGATACAAATGAGTATTATAATGTCTTTTATAATGTTTTAAGATTATTGTTATAAAGCATTATAAATACGTTTAAGTGTTTATAACTATAATTGTACAGTGCAATAAGCAGATGCAGAGTAAATGCGTAATAAATGTTATATGTGTTGCCTGATTTTCTTTCTGGTTACTGAAGGCTGTGTCCAGGCTGACCGGACGAGAGCTCAGTTCCTATGCAAAGGCCGGGGCAGTGGCCGACGAGGTCCTGACATCCATCAGGACAGTCGCAGCGTTTGGTGGGGAGAAAAAAGAAACTGAAAGGTATTTTTCTCGTTTTGTAAGACTTCAAGAAATGTTTGTGCTTTTCACATGAGAAGCCATTTCTCCATGATTTGAAATTAAACCGAAATGGTCAATTATACAGATATGACAAAAACCTGGAGGAGGCTCAGACCTGGGGTGTGAAAAAGGGCGCCGTCGTTGGCATTTTCCAAGGATTCATGTGGAGCATCATTTTCTTTTGTTACGCTCTGGCCTTTTGGTATGGATCTCAATTGGTCATTGACACTAAAGAGTTAACTCCTGGTACTCTTATTCAGGTATGTAAACATAAATGCATTAAACTTTAAATACTATAGGATATACGTTTTTTAAAAACAGTGGCATACGTTTCACGATGTGGCTGCGGTTTTTTTCAGGTGTTTTTTGGAGTACTCGCTGCAGCAATGAACCTGGGCCAGGCCTCACCGTGCCTGGAGGCCTTTGCTTCAGGTCGAGCCTCAGCAAAAAACATATTTGACACAATTGATCGGGTAACCTCAAGATACCACTTAAGACTTGCAGATTTAAGCCAGATTGGAAGAATCTTCCTCAAAAATAATATTGTTTACTGTGTTTTCACAGAAACCAGAAATGGATTGTTTCTCAGAAGAAGGTCACAAGTTAGACAAAGTCAAAGGTGACATTGAGTTCCATAATGTCACTTTCTCATACCCGTCTCGGCCTGAAGTCGAGGTACATTTCTTCCAATTGCATATCTTTGTATCCATTTCTCACTCCTGAAATATTCCCTTTTATAATGAGCCTTCTACTTTTCCAGATTTTAAATGACCTAAGCATGCAGGTCAAAGCAGGGGAAACCACGGCTTTTGTGGGTCCAAGTGGATCTGGAAAGAGCACCACAATCCAGCTTTTCCAAAGGTTTTATGACCCAAAGAGAGGAATGGTAAAAATCTGCCAGCATCTGCACAAACACACAGGACACCAGTGGAGAGTTTGAAGGCTTCAGTCCAATGTAACATTTTCTATTCTCATTCTCAGGTGACTTTGGACGGGCATGACATTCGTACTTTAAACACCCAGTGGCTCAGATCTCTCATTGGTATTGTAGAGCAGGAGCCAGCGCTGTTTGCGACAACCATCGCAGAAAACATCAAGTTTGGTCGACCTGGAGTAACCATGGAAGACATCATCCAGGCGACAAAAGAGGCTAATGCCTATAATTTTATCATGGCTCTTCCACAGGTACTAAGACACTTATTTAAAGATAATTCATAAGTTATAGTTCATACAGTGAGCTTGATCAGTTAAAAATAACCTCTTGCTGCTCGTCCACCAGAAATTTGACACGATGGTGGGAGAAGGTGGAGGACAGATGAGTGGAGGACAGAAGCAGAGGATTGCTATCGCTCGAGCTTTGATCAGAAACCCCAGGATTCTGCTGCTCGATATGGCCACATCCGCCTTAGACAATGAGAGTGAGGCTGTTGTCCAGGAGGCATTGGATAAGGTAAGTTACTCTTTGGCTTTAGTCGACATAATTGAGTTCACTTCGACGATTAACCTCAGCAAAAAAAAACATAATTTGTGGAATGACATTCTCAAAATGTGCAGGTGCGCATGGGCAGGACAACAATTTCTATAGCTCATCGTCTTTCCACGATAAAAAATGCCGACATCATCATTGGTTTTGAGCATGGACAGGCTGTGGAGAGAGGAACACACACTGAGCTAATAGAAAGGCAAGGTGTCTACTTTACCCTGGTCACCCTGCAGAGCCAAGGCACACCCAACAAAAGTAAAGGTAAAGTTTTATTTAAGGCTGATATTCTTTGAAGCTACTAATCATTATTGTTGTTCTGCAGGACGCTTTCATCCCAGGAGACAGTGGGCAGTCCTACACATTGTTTGAAGGCCTTTTAGTGTCTGCTTAAGAGCTAAATAATCGCCAATACTTTGACCAAAGCCTAATTGACATGTTTTTTTCTTCTCTCAGATGCAATCAGTGAAGCTCATGAAGATGCCATTCATCTGAAAAGTTTGAGCCGCACATCAAGTCAAAGGTAAAGTCAATCCAGCTCAAAAAGATCAAATCGGGGGGGGGGGAATAACTTATAATGAAATAAAAATAATTCTTAAATGTACTACTCTAGGGGCTCTGTTCGACTGAGATCTGAAAGCAAATTGTCCATTCACGCATTATCAGAGAGCCTCAATATCCCCTCAGACTACGAGTTCATATCAGAAAAGGTACTGAGATTTACTTTGATGCCCTATAATACTGTACACTGACTTGATGTGGAAATAAATAACTCCAATGTGTATTTTTAACAGGAATCTGAGGATGTTGCAGACGAACATGTAGAGCCTGCCCCAGTAGCACGTATTCTCAAATACAACAAACCGGAATGGCCCTACATGCTGATGGGCTCGATAGGAGCTGCTATCAATGGCTTTGTCACCCCTGTTTATGCTATCCTGTTTAGCCAAATTCTTGGGGTAAGAATAGCGTATTTCACAAACTTAAATTCATTATGCTGTGTTTAACAAGCTGATGTAGTTGACTGAATTGCAAATTACCTTTCTGATCTTTGTATTGCAGACATTTTCCATGGCTGACTTGAACCAACAGAGGGAACAAATCAACGGTATATGTGTTCTGTTTTGCATTGTGGCTGTGGCTAGTTTCTTCTCCCAGTTCTTACAGGTTTGTATCAGAATTTCCCACATAATTAACACATTTACATTACATTTCAGTATACATCTTTTTACCAATGTGATATAGGAGCCCAACAGTATAAGCCAGGGATGCACAATGTGGGTTTTTGTTGATTTGTATGTGCAAAAATGAACTGCAGCTATAATTCTTGCTGCACTGTAGTCAACAGTTTGTATCTCATGTGAATAATGTGGCCGATGCCCAAATTGCATTTAAAAAAACGTATAGGTTGGCAATACCGATGACTGGCCATCAACATTGTGCATCCTTTACTGTACATGTAGCGCTGTCTCTGATTTGTTGTTTAGGGATATTCTTTTGCTAAGTCTGGAGAGCTGCTGACCCGCCGTCTGAGGAAAGTGGGCTTCCAGGCCATGTTGAGTCAGGAGATTGGCTTTTTTGATGATCCCTCAAACAGCCCTGGAGCTCTGACCACCCGACTGGCCTCTGATGCATCCATGGTGCAGGGGGTAAGTGACGGATTTACATGTGTGTATCTATTTTTCTCATTATACAGTATATAACACAGAAAGGCAAATGGTTGGTGGTGTAATTTCAACACTGTTTTGCAAATTGCTTGTTTGACTTCTACAGGCAACAGGATCTCAGATCGGCATGATAGTGAGCTCGTTGACCTGCATTGGAGCGTCTTTCATCATTGCTTTTATCTATAGTTGGAAGTTAACTTTGGTTATTATGTGCTTCCTGCCACTACTCGGATTGTCTGGAGCTTTCCAAGCCAAAATGCTGACAGGTTTTGCAAATGAAGATAGAGAATCCATGGAAGAAGCAGGCCAAGTAAGCTCGCCATCGAGCCCAAATGAATTATACACTGCCCTGAGAAACCAATGGCCACAGTTAAAGATCATAACTTTGTCCCACAGGTATCCAGTGAGGCTCTTTCCAACATCAGGACGATTGCAGGCTTAAACAAAGAGACCTTTTTTGTGGAATCATATGAGCAGAAACTGGAGCTTCCATTTATATCTGCCATAAAGAAAGCCAACATCCATGGGCTTTGTTTTGGTTTTTCCCAGTGTGTCCTCTTCATGGCATACGCTGCTTCCTTTCGATATGGAGGCTACCTGGTTAGCTCTGAGGGATTACTGTACACATATGTCTTCAGGTTGGTAAAAATCTTTCAATGGGAAATCTGTATATATTTTTTTATTCCTTGTTTAAATGTACTGTATTTGGTGTTTTGTGATTACCAGGGTGATTCTGGCTGTAGTAATGAGTGGGACAGCAATGGGCAAAGCTTCCTCCTTCACTCCAGATTACTCCAAGGCCAAAATAGCTGCTGCTCAGTTTTTCAAACTATTGGACAGAATTCCCAAAATCAGCACAAGCCATGCAGTTGGAGAGAAATGGGTTGGTGAATTCAATCATTAAGATATCAGAATGGGATGCCATGTTGTGATGATGTTAACTTGAGATGATTAATCCCATTTGTTCATATTTAGGATAACTTCAAAGGTGAAATACAGTTCCTTAATTGTAACTTCACCTATCCAACTCGACCAGATGTGCAAGTGTTGAACGGCCTGGTTGTGTCTGTGAAGCCTGGTCAGACTTTGGCGTTTGTTGGAAGCAGCGGCTGTGGAAAAAGCACCAGTGTTCAACTGTTGGAAAGGTTTTATGACCCTGATCAAGGGCGTGTGGTATGTTAACCATTTCAGACATTCATTTTACTCATCACAAAATGAGTTTATCCAAACCAAAGTCCTAATTATGTCATATTTCATTTTTCAGTTGATTGATGGCCGCCCATCTCAAAATGTCAATGTGCCCTTCCTAAGATCCCAGATTGGCATAGTGTCCCAGGAGCCAGTTTTGTTTGGCTGCAGCATAGCGGAGAATATTCAATACGGAAATAACACATGCAGTGTCAGCATGGAAGAGATTGTTGAGGCTTCTAAGAAAGCCTACCTTCATGACTTTGTGATGACGCTACCACAAGTAAGTTGTTAAAGTCTGGTAATGTAAGATGGGTGCTAAAATGGAGCGTTTAGGACTGAGTATAATCAGTTAGACAGTATGAAAAAATGAATAGGTTAAAAATGTTTTATAACGTTGAAGCATGTTAACGTCTTCAATTATGAAATTAGGGATCACAATGAGCACAATATATCCATTTTAAATCTCAACTGTTGCTCTAATCTGAAGCATGTATGCAGGACTTGAATGTATGTGACAGTCGAATTTGTCACCCAACTAGAAAGTCAAGTTTACGCAAAATTGTAACAATAGAAACCATTTTTATTTTAGTTGTACATTTTGACCAGAATGTTTACTTTGTGACCTTTTGCTCTCCCCACTTTTTTCAACACATATACAAATCTTAAGAAATATGAGACTCAGGTTGGTACCCAGGGCTCCCAGTTGTCAAGAGGACAAAAACAACGCATCGCCATAGCCAGGGCCATTGTCAGAAACCCAAAGATCCTGCTACTAGATGAAGCTACATCTGCCCTGGACACAGAGAGTGAACAGGTAACACAATTATAAACAACATTAAAACTCATGAACACAAAGCAAGGTGTTCCCTTGTATGAGTATTTAATTGTGTGATCTAAATCTTCACATACTTGCATAACGGTTCCTGACTAAGCTCTGTTTTCATGCAGATTGTGCAGTCTGCCCTGGATGAGGCGAGAAAAGGACGAACCTGCATCGTCATCGCTCACCGTCTGTCTACTATCCAGTCTGCGGACATCATAGCAGTGATGTCTAATGGTGCCGTGATAGAACAAGGCACACATGATACTCTCATGGCCAAGAAGGGCGCCTATTTTAATCTGGTCACAACAGGTGCTCCTATCAGCTAGACAGACAGAAGAATGAGCGTATGACGACAATTATGTTGAATGGGTGTTATAGTACAAGAAGACTTTTTTTCTTTTGGCAGGTATAGAATATAAATATTTGAATAATTTGTTTTAGTGATCTTGTAGTTTATTATTGAAAAATGTAAAAATTGAAATAACAATAAAGTTATGTTTTTGTTTACAAGTAGTTTCTTTATACAAAAAGAATATGGTTCTGTTATAGCATGATAAAGTGGCCTTAAATATAATTATGATATCCTGCTCTGTGTTGAAAACTACCAAATTTAATCTGTGTAACCTGAGTTATTTTATTTCAATGCAGCACCAATGCATTGTTTTGAAGTAAGCTAGAATGCAAAGTTGAATAAGATACATATATATAACATGTTTAAATATAGACATGGCAATTTTTGTCTATAATAGACATCAAAAGTGACATGAATTAAAATATTATCCTCAGAGTTGAAAATAAGATTGAACCAGTCACCAATAACAGTTTCATCCTGGTTTTTACATTTTGGCTGAGATGGAACCACAGGGGGAAATAATCAGATACAAATGATACGAGGGTCTCCCATGAAGTTGAGAACGTTGTGGTATTTCCTGTAGAAGCTCTGATGGTGCAAACATATATAAACAGGGAACCACTGCTGTAGATACAATCCATCTGAGGTTCCCTTTCTGTGTGCCTTCTTCTGCACCTGTCAAAGCACAATCTGAAGCGAAGACAGCTTTATATCTCTACCTGGGATCATAAATATTTCAACGGAGCCATGGTAACAACAGCAAGATATTCAGTTTGACCCCACTATGAATTAAATAATGTGATCGCAAGTAGTGCCCCCAGTAGCCCACTGGATCCCTTCAGACTCATTAAAAATCCCCTTCTCAGTGAATTTAGCAATAACAAGGGTTTACTAAAGTCCACCTGCCATCCAGAGTTATAGCCTGTTCCTGCTCTGTTTCTCTCCATTTTATACCCAGTCATTATTGTAAGAGCATTTTTATTTACCTAATTAGAAATAATGTTTTGGTAACAGTATTTTAAACAGTTTGTTGGGTAGTTTTGGCCCACCTGAACTTCCCCATTTTCACCACAAGATGGTGTAAAATCACAATACAGACATACATGATGCATTCTCCTCTGGCGTTATTTAAATGTTAAGCAATAAATAACAAATTCCTACGGTATCCACCTTTTCTGGTCAGTAACGAAATAGATAGCATTCAGTTGTAAAAAAATAAAAAAATGTAATAAAATTTTTTCGTTGTTTGAAAGCGGAAGGAAAATAAGCTGGACGCTACTTCCGGTGTTGAGACCCCGCCCACTCCTCTGTGGAGACCGCGGATTTTTGAATAATAACGACTGGGTTGGTTCAGTAGCGTAAACAAGTAGGATCTTCTGCTGCTCATGTACACATGTGAGTAACACCACTGACACCAAATAAGCCATTATTAATAGGTCTGTTGTTTTCTTTTCTGCTTAGACAAGTTAACCAACGCTAATGTTTCCTAGCTAAGGTTAGCCTTCCGGTTATGCTGATACTTGAACGTTGACCACTCAGTTTAAGGTTAGGTATTATCGGTTACTCATGAATGAGTTACAGGCTCATGTTAGACCTGTTTTTTTTAGCATGGCACACCGTAAATCAACGTTATGGAAATGCAGAGGTGGAAGAAGTACTCAGATCTTGTACTTGAGTAAAAGTAGGAATACCAGAGTGTAGGAATACTCTGTTACAAGTTAACTGCATTCAAAATGTGACTCAAGTAAAAGTATAAAAGTATTAGCATTAAAATATACGTAAAGTACCAAGTAGTCTTGTTCTTCACTCGGTTGTCCGTCAAGTATATGGCTCTGTTGACATTGCATCTCAGTTCGTGAGGAGTCATCTGCTCTTATTTGAGTTTTTATTTACTTTTAGCAATGCCTTATACATTAAATTATACAAGAATAGAGTCTCATAGGTAGATATGTGTAGCAGTGCGTTGGCGTATTGATGTATGCCAATACTTGATAGGTGCTTTCATATGAACATGACATGTATGGTGGTATTTACAGTAAGCAGTGGTGTAAAGTAACTACCGGTAAGTAAGTACATTTGCTCGAGTACAGTACTTAAGTGAGTATTTGAGTATTTCATTTTCCTGCTACTTTGTTCTTTTACTCCACTACATTTACTTAATACCTTTAGTTACAGATTTGGATTAATGATGTGATATATATTAAACTCTTAAATAATACTTTAGTTAAACCTGGAGTCAATTTGCAAGCTACCCTGCAAAATCATTCAAACTAAATGCACATTTACCAGCTTTGATATAACTTTAATGCATCAACAATTATAATCAATACATATAATATATATTATTTTGAAATGGACCGCTCTGCATAATGAGTACTTTTACTTTTGGTACTTTTGATGCTTATACTTGTGTAATAGTTTGAATGCAGGACTTTTACTTGTCACAGAGTATTCTTACACTCTGGTACTTTTACTTAAATACAAAATCTGAGTACTTCTTCCACCTCTGACAGTAAGTGAGGCAAATTGCGTTTATGCTGCATCACTGGTCCCTTTTGTATTTGCTTCTCAGCTTTAGTCTTACTTTATTATTATTATCCAGGAGATTTAGTTGACAGCCAGATTAAAGTTATACACATCCTTTACAAAATGTGCAGTACTACATAATAATTGTGTTATTCTCGTGCACATAGTTAGCATTATGCTGTTTGTTGTTGTTTTCATTGCAGATTGTGAACATCATGAAGTCCATTACTGATCCAAACATGAGTGCCGGCTTCACCAGTGCCATGGAGGAAATCTTCAACGAACACCTGAAGACGTGCGGGGAGATCACCGACCAGACGACAGAGCTGTGTCAGTCCCACAGAGAGTTTGTGAAGTGTGCAGTAGGTATGTCTGACATCTTGCTTATTGGCATCTCCAGTAGTTGTTGTTGGCCTGCCAATAATAACTGTTCCTGGGGTTTATATTGAAAATGAATCAAATTGAAATGTTATAGTCAGTAATGTTTGCAGTCTTTAAACGATATAGTTTCAACATTGCTTATAACAATAAAATGACGGCAAGCTGACCCTTAACGTTTTCTTTGTATTTGTTTTGCAGATACGTGTTTAAAGAAGAGTAAGGATGATGATATGCTGTTTGAGACAATAGAAACATTCAAAAGAGGTGAGTTGATGCATTGAACCACAAAGCATTGATAATGTGGCTTACATTCAGTCCAAGATGTGTGTTTATATGATTATAACATGGTAGAAATGATCAATATTAACCAATGCCATCGTTATCTTTGTTCTAGTACTATAACTGTTTTATGTGCTTAATAATTCTTCATTTTCTGATACACACCATGGCAACATTTTGTAATGCAGCTTCAAGGGCTACAGTTTTATGATGAAAACGTACTTTGACTGATGCAATGTTTGTCCTCCAGACTTGGTACAAACAAGTGCATCATTAAAAGCGAAAAGGCATGCCGTTTCTGAAATGATATCCGAGATTGAGCACAAGGAAATGCAGAAAGAAGACATCATCCAGAAGATAGAGACACTTAAAGAAGAACAATCCAAGAGAAAAGAGTGTAAGTCTATATTTTGAAAATTAAATATATGGTGTAGATTTCATAACTTGATTTGCCTTAGGTTATTTTAGTAACAGAACCATTGACTTTTTTTTCTTCCAGTAATTCTGTCTCAACACAAGACAAACAAAGACAGACTGAAGTATCTCAAGAAAGCCAGAGGGGTCTTTCAAGATAATTTGGCGATGGAGATACGAACAATCTCTGGCAAAACACAACTGGTTAAAGGTAGGCCAAGTGTGCAATTTCCATTATCAATAACCGTCTGTATTCATCAATCATTACACATACCAGTAATTGCTTGTGTCCGGTAATACCCCGATTGTCTTCAGTGGCACTCACTGTGTCTTCAGAATATAACAGAATATGTTTGTTGTCTTTGTAAAGGTGAAAAGCTGCAGTTTATTTTCCGGAATATCAACCCTTCAGATCTGAACAGCGCTTACATTGTCACATTGGGCCTCAATAAAGACGGATCATACCAGGGTAAGTAATGCACGCATACTTGCATATGAAAACTATACTTGCATAAAATATATATCTGACAATATATTTTGTGTTATTGTGTGGGAAAATAATACTCATAAGAAGTGCCTGAGTAGCCAATGCCTCATGAAGCTAATCCCCCTGAGCCATATATAGCTCAATTGTTCTCCAAAACTCAAATTTGAAAATATAACTGTCACACTATTGCACTAGCTGATGTGTTCTCCCATTCCCATGACAACGACCACTGTCATTTATTTTGAGTCTGTGATATAAATTATTCACTGTCCTGCTGCAGTATATACACACTACACCACTAACTTTGAATTAATCCCAAAAAGCTGCCTTCAAATGCAGTCTTTACTCCCATTTGCTTAAAAATACATTTCCCAGCTGGCTTCTTAGAAATCATTCATAATACAAATATATTTAAGACCAGTTTTAATACATTTTGTTGTCAGTAGGAAGTAATGGACATGGGGGTGAGTACAACAGACAGTGTAGAGTAGTAATAATCTAATGAAGTGGATTAATGCAATGCTGGTTCAGTATTTTTATGGGATTTATTGACAATATAAACATAACATATATCATCAGTTTTATCCTCCAACCACCATGTCTTCTATAATAAAGTCTTCTGTTTCTCCAGATGTGTCCAGTGATCCCGTGCTCGGGTGTTTGCCAGTCCTGGAGAGCCAGCTTCAGAAGACCAATAACTTACCAGCATTTCTGGCTAGCGTCAGAAAGGAGTTTATTTCTCAGGCACGCCGCTGAGATTAGAAGGATGGGAGAAAGATATAGCATGCGATGAGGACTAATGCTGATCAAAGCTTTCAGTCTGTATCTACAGTACAGATCTGCTAACAAGGCTTCAACTGCTTTGACAAATAGGGTTTTAATATACATTTCTGTGGGTAACAATTCAAATACTATATTAGAAATATCTGGACTTTTTATTGCATAACTACTGGGGTAATGTGTCATCACACATGTCTTGTTTCATCATTGAGCATGGACTTGTAAACATTTTAGTGGAAACCTCTATCTAAATCTTAAAAATTCATCATTCACGTATTGGGTCAAAAGCTTTCATTTGTTTCTTCCTTTCATTATTCAATTTAAAGTAGATGGGGATGATCATAACTTTAATAACTCTCCCTTGCTTCATTTTTCCTTAATCATATATATAACATATTTATTAAACATTCACTATAGTTAAGTTAATCTGTACACAATGCGCATAAATAATGGTGAAAATGATTATTTAGGTGCTAAATTCACAGATGCATACAGCATTATAAAATAACTCCAGGGAGAGCAGAGACAACAAGTATAAAGGAATGTATAGACATTTTAATGAATGCTTTATTTGTTAGTAAACATTTGAGTATATACAGTAGTATAGTGCTGTACAATGAACATAATCAGTCAGAACAAACACAACTTGTAGTTTTAGTTGGTACGAGTCTTTCAGTTGTTGCCATTGCATTTTCATCAGTGCAGAAGTGAATCTCTTTGATTCAGGGTGTTTTTGAATAGGAGTTGTGTCAGGCATCCGATGACTTGATGCTGCTTAACACAGGCAGCTCCTCCACATACGTTGAAGGGAAATGACCTGTCTTCCCATCAAGTTTGCCAAACCACCAACCATTCTCTTCCTTTCCACAAATGTCTAGAAGATCTCCTGTGACCAAAAACATTTTACAAGATTATAAACCTCTACTGTTTTTGGATTTTTTTCTGCACTTACGTTGTTACTTACCCTCCTTCAGAGTCAATTCATCATCCTGTTCAGGTGTGAAGTCGTACAGGGCCTTGCATTTTCCTATGCTGCACAGCTCTGGTGTTATTTGACCTGTTTAATGTTGATATTTGTATTACTTTACTTTATTATGAACTTTTTAAATATGCTGAATAGAAAATCAATCTTTGTGTTACTCTGAAAATGTCTTGCCTTGTTCTTTGTCATTATTGGTGTGAGGCAGGGCTCCATTAACAGTGCTGTCACACTCTGCAGCCTCGTGTGATGTGGAAGTGACTTGTTCCACAGACGGCTGTGTCACAAACTGAGCCGGCCCTTTGTAAATGATGGAAGCTCTCAGGGACTGTCGGGACCTGAAGAGAGTCCTGCGGAGCTTCACTGGACGAGTCAGTTGAACCACGCTGTGCTCACAGTCCTTAAACAGACATACTGTGTTTAATAATTACGATACATGCATTTTTTTTATTATATACAGCACTTTGGCTCGACCAAAAATCGTTTAAAAATGTGCTATATAAATAAAACTTGATTTGATTTACGAGGCTCTACAGATAACGGTTGTATGCCGTACAAACACTCGCTCTAACACTGGAAATCCCAGGAGTTTGTAAAAAATATCCATATTGTGTTATTAATAGTTTGAGACACCATTCATTTTAAAAATAGAATTCATGCAACCAAAAAGCTTGGGAATCCCCTTTTTTTATGTCTGTTTAATAATGTCACCATTAAAGTCCCACGCAGTCCTTACCTAAACAGTTATAACTCAATAACCACTAAAAGGCTGCTTCAAATGGAACTTTTTCATACTATTCTTTAATCCAAGGAAAGTCATTTTAATGGGTCTGCTTTTAATGCCAGATACACTTCTGAAATATGCTTCTAAATGTCCTTTTAGCCAGTGACATTTCAATAAGAAACCTCCTTAAACCACTCCCATGTCCTGAAGATGACGCATGTCTTACCTTATCTTTCCATTTCACGATGCTGTCACTGAATCGATGAAAGGACTTGGCCTTGCCCTCCAACTCGCACAGTGACACAGAGAGTTTGCAGTGAGTGGCCTCGAGGAGATCCAGTTTTAAGGTACTCTACAAGCAACAATATTTCATGAGTGCACAGTAGTAATCAATTTGAAGTAAATGTCCTTCTGTACACATGACTATCCCTCCGTCCATTACACACATTGTTTACCTCATCGATCTGCTGCTCAGTCTCCTCCAGGTTCTTTTGGTTTGAGAAAGATGGATTTGCAGAATACGTTCTCATCAGTTTTTCAATTCCTGCAACAACAATATTGACAGAGACTTAATGAATGACCTCACATGGTACTGTCCATTTTAAATCAATGCATTGATTTATAAAGGACATCCACCAGGTTATATTGTGTATTTAAATGAACTATTTAGTGAGTAATGCGCTCAACTTGCCTTCCCGGTCTTTCTTTGTCTTTGTAATACTGGCCTCAAGACGCTGGACTTTGAGTTTGATGGCTTCTTTTCTTCGGTCTTTGGCCATCAGTGACTTGCTGTCCTCCTCCTGTTTCACCCAGAACACAGATCAGTAACAATGATGGTCTTGGGTAAAATCTACTGTTGACACTACACAGTATGTGTTTGTGCTGTGAGTATTTCAAACATGCTACTGCCTTTACTGCACAGTTATACAACGTTCCACTAAAGCAGGTTAATCCCATTGGGATGTCGATCATATTTTCAAAGACCTGAGCACGACCTAACAACTACATAATTAGAAATGTAAACATGACGAAATGTAACAAAAAGCAGACCATATACATTGGAGCACCGCCTTCATGTTAGGCCCTGTCACAAAACGATAAATACTCCTGAGGCTTGCCCGCCCCTATCAAAAAGAGACCCATTGCGGAGATGACTAAGCGTGTCTTTGAATGGGTGAGTCACTGAATGAGTCTGACAACAAAAAAAAAACACACTTACAAAATAATCAGCCACCAAAAACTCTGCTTTGTGATCTTCTGCTGTGATGCTGTTTTCCGCCAGCAGGGTTTGTATGTCTTTGTCCATGTCCACCCTTTGCACTGTCTGTTCTATCTTTTTTTGGGCCTGGAATATATAAATTATAACATTAATTTAAGTAAGAACTGCATACTTATGAGTAGGATGGAGTTCAGGGCTGCCTTACGTGTTGGAGGGTTTGCCCAAAGCTGGACATGTGGAGGTTGTATCTATTCAATATGTTGAAGAGAACTTCAATCCGCTGTTTCTCCAGCTCCTGTATAATCTGAAAAAGCAGAAAATAACATTGTGACGCTTTTGGTGCAGCACATTCAATCCCTATTGAGTCTTGTCCTTGTCATATATTCTGTGTAGCATGTATTATCCCAACATATCACCTCCAGTGGAATGAAGACCATCTAAACCTGAGGTAAATGTTGAATAAAAAGGAAAACAAGGTCATAGTGATTGCTGCATGTACAGTGACCAAAGGCTGCTGTTCTCTGTTGCATGCTAATAAAATGTGTGTACCTGAGAGAAAACAGAATGAAATAAAATGCTGAAAAGACTGGGGAGATATTTGGTGTACCGATATAATTGACTGACCTAGTGCTTGTAGAGAATTTTCTGCAGCAAAAAGGTCACTGCTTCAGCTGTTGTCAAAATGGGGTGTCCTTAAACAAGGATTGACCCTGTTCACTAGGAAAAACAGCTACATGCCTACAGTATGAGAAGCGGGAGAGCATGTTTTCCGCACCTGGTGGCAGTTTTTCAGTGTGTTTTCCCACTTGAGCCTCATCTGATGACCCTCCATGTTGATGTTAAAGTACTCATCATCCACCCGCACCTGTAACTCTGCCGATTTAGTCAGCCTGTTCAGCATCTGTGGTCAAGAACAAGGGGATACTCTTTTAGCAAAACATGAGAGGGTAATGTAATGTATGTAGTGGTGAAAAATGTGTTTGGTAGCCATAAAATTCACCTTTTGTTTTTCTTTTTCTGTGCAGGTTTGTCTGTTGTTCTCAACAAAGTTGAACAGAGCCTCATGCTCTCTTGTTAGTCCAACCAATTTCTTCTTTATCTGTTTCAGAAGAGAAGAAATCCACACAAAACGGTAAAGGTAAACATTGAATTAGCAGTTTACTACACCATGTGTGAGAGAAGCAGGGTCAATCTCTTTAAAGCAACTCTAAAACGCCAGGTTTATAATCTATTTGTTTTTTCCAATTAATGCACTGGCTATTTTAGATACTTAAAGGAACACCAAAGTTCACATTGTTTTCCAACATAAGCTTTGTACAGAACCCTCATCTGTAAAACATAATCCATTATAACACAGTCATACTTCAGTTTAACAAATGCTATCAACCTTATGATATGGGGTGTGTCATAGCAACAACCAACTGTTTTTTATAATACATCATAAATTCAAAGATAACAGTCAATCATCAAATATCCCATGTTGCATGATGGGTTTTAAAGGTCAAATGAATATTATGTTTCTGTTCTGTCAGCTTAACAAATAATTGGTTATGGTTGTTCATACTTTTTGTTAAAGTCATGACCTTTTGACTGATAAGAAACTATAATCCTTGAATATGTGATGCACTGTGATCCTACTTGTAATGGCTCATAAGTAACAGTTTCAACACATTATAATGCATTATTAATACTTATCGCTTCAGAAATGCATTGTGCATGCATTGTTATGCAATATGCAGTTCAAGCATATATAAAATATACGGTAAAGGCTTTACTATAAAGTCTATATTATATAGTCTACTATAACATAATAGCTGACAGTCACGCACACTTTTTATGGGTTAAGCATTTATGGATCAGCATGTTGTTAACAATGGTTAACAGCAGCTCCATCATAGCTAAGGCATATTTCTGCATTTTCCTTTACCTTAAGTTGTTCACTCCAATTGGCAGTAAAAAGTTTCCCAGTTCTTTCAATGGCACTGTCAAGCTATGAAAGCACATAACAAGGTTAAAGACACGCTATATCTTGGAGCTTGCACAGCAGATTTAATGATAAAAAAATGCAGAAGATTCTTCATACAGGCCTCTTCCTCTTATTATGCTCGTCTAAGACTTGTCGTATTTCCAGAATTGCTTCTTGCTGAAATGCATTTCCTAGTGACCTGAAAAGAAAACACTGTGTTTAACTCAAATCTTTGGTTTGATCTGTGGACAGACACGGTTGTGAAGTGAACTTGGGCTGAAACCTACCTGTGGGCATCTGCTCTTGAGTACATCTCATCCGACACATGACACCAGGCACTGTAGGTGGAACTGAGTGGGGAACCAGCATGAATAGGTTAGAGCTGTGGGCTCATAAACGTCATCTGTGTTTTGATCACACCTATCTTGCTAGGTGCATGTTTCCACGATATCAGGAAGAGGTCATGTTAAACACAAAATAGACAAAGGACAGAACCATTTAAAATATGCTCCTTACTTGTTTGACATTCCTTTGGAGGCCCTGATGAGTTTGCCGGCAAGTTTCTGTAGTCCTTTGGAATAAGTAAGTTCCAGCTCTGCCCTAAAACAATAAGGCGTTGCAGCAAGTGACAAAAGCTGAGTCAAACAGTAACTCCTGTCGTCTCTTCAAGTTAATCTGAAGGACATAGTTGTACTGAACCTACCTTTGCTGGAAAACTGTCATAAGTTCTCTGCAGAAGTACTCCCCGGATTTCGAAAACCGTTTCAAATTTTGATAGAGTTGGTTATACTGAAAGACAGAATTAGCCTCTGTGATATGTTTGCCACATGTAGCAAACATGGCCTAAATCAACAGAGTTAAAAAAACGAAACAACTAAGTTGTACATTAAATACATATTGAAATCATATTTTAACTCCAGTGCATTGTGGAGGTAACCTGGACCTTTTCAAGATAAACTTACCGAGCAGGTGCTGATAGGGTCCTTCATCTTAAGACTGTAGCAGTTTGTTGACTTTGGACCGGGAACTTTGACCACCCTCCTCCCAAACTCACTCATGCGGAAATCACCTGAGCTTTTGTCAGTGCTTTATAGAAAGGAACATTCCAGAGAGAGGAAAACAAGAAACTACAAATGTCAACTCAAGCAGGATGGCAGGTCAGTGTGGAGCAGATATAAATAAAGGAAAAGATAAACACAAAACAAAGGCCAATTCATGGTTCCAAGCAGCAATACATGTTGACATTAAAATAACCTTTACAATTTGCATGGGAAACTTGTTGGCAAGCATTTGCTTGTAAAGGCAACCAGGTGACATTGAAGAACATTAGTGTTAACCATTTGTAGTTTATTTTACATGCTGAATGAAAGTCTAATTTTAACTTTGTTTAAACCGGTCTGGGTAACAACCCCTTGGGAAAATATCTCAATATCTAGCAGCTAAATGCTCCATAATATTATTACTCTATAACAATTAGCTAACTGTGTCTGAAATAACACATTGATAGCTTTAACTGAACAAAACCAAAAGTTGTTGGTACAAACAGAAACTAGAAGCAGAAAGACACTAAAATGGTTGGTAGAGCTCAGGGGAACTGCAGAGGCAAGGATTTGTCGGTAAGTCATATGTTGTGAGTATACAAATATTATTTGCATTTGATCCCTCATCATTATTTATGGGAGAATGATCATATTTAATTCATTTTAAAATTCAAATTCACCCTCAGGGTTTCATAAACAGTGTTTCTTTACAATTATTGAACAAACTCAAACACATTTGTAATCTTCATGTTTATTTTTTATTGAATAACTCAAACAACTCATGTCTGCCTCGTAAGAGGACAAATGGCCTTTTATGAAATGCTTACCAGAAATGTATCAGAATACTTAACAAAATGCTTTAATAGGAAAAACAGCATCTAGCCATATCTGATGCGCACACATAATACTGTTTTTGACATCTCACATACAGTTTAGTGAAGAATGTGTTTTAAAATGTGAGCATCTCACACATTTTGGCATATCTTTGGGGGTGTAGCTTTAAAAGTAAACCCAGGTCTTTAGCATTTTGCTAATACTCGTCATGATGTGTGGTATGAAAAACAGCCGTATCATTCAAGATTATTTTATCTTTAACACTAAACGTCAAAGTAAAATAGATGCATCACCATCTGCAAAATATATTTATAAAAAATAAATAACATCAAAAGACAAAACATAAGAAAAAACACACCCCCAGTATGCCAGACTACTGTATGTTAAAGTAGCATGCTTAAAGCATGCTACTTTAACATACAGTAGTCTGGCATACTGGGGGTGTGTTTTTTCTTATGTTTTGTCTTTTGATGTTATTTATTTTTTATAAATATATTTTNTCACTATTATCTCAGAATGCATCCTAGTGAAATATCAATTATATTGGCATGTCGCATTCTCTTTAAGCCTCTAAAGCTCTGACCCAATCACTGCAGAGGTGGGAGTAAGTCCTACATGTGCAAGTCATGAGCAAGTCTCAAGTCTTGACCTACAAGTATCAAGCAAGTCCCAAGTCACTGTGGTGAGAGTCAAGCAAGTCAAGTCAAGTCATACGAAATTCTGGTCAAGCAAGTCAAGTAATACGAAATTCTGATGAATAAGCCCAGTTTCCGCATTTAAATCAGTTAAAAGACAGTGGTTATGAAAATGGATTCACCCACACTATGATCTTCATTACATACACAGTTAATCATTTGAAATCTAATTTAGACCGATGACAATCATTTTAGATTCATATTAACCCCAGAACTGCAGACAATATAGCTAGGACTTTCAAAAGTCTGTTCAAAAAGGCAGAATTCCAGGTAAGAAAATCATATATGGCATTTGCCATTACACATATTCAATTTAAATTTCTGTTAACACTAGAACCGCCAACAGTGTCAGCACCTACATAGATATCATTTTCAAATCATTTAATTTGTTACTCTTCATAATTTCCTTATAAACTAAGTAGGACGATTTAAAACTCAGTTAATTGGGTTAATTTAGAAATTGCTTCAGTATATCATCATAACAGATCAAAAAGTTCAGATTCATTTTACAATAAATCAAGGAATGATGCACTTCTACAAACAAAAACAACATAATTAAAACATTTAAACAAACTACTAAAAGTAGATGAACTACATTATTCAAAAGTGTACAGTAACTTCTGATAATAACACAGGGGAAATAAACGAGGCATCTCTCTCTCTCTCTCTCTCTCTCCTGACAGCCCGTCAGTATCAGGGTTAGTCCAAATGAATCCCTTGGCGTGTTCATTTACCGTTTTGTCTTCTCTTTGCAATTAATTGATTTGAAACCAAGTCTAACGTAGCTTAAACTTAACGTTAGCTTTCTAGCTAACACAACACATGCACGCACCTTTCTCTGTGTTTTTTTTTTGTAGTGACGAATGAAGTTGGATGTTGTGGTGGTCGTGTCACTGATCTTTATGCTGAAGACCCTGCATACCGCTGTTCTCTTCTTATTATCGTAATCGACAAAATAATCCTTGAATCCAAACTTCACTATTTTTGGAGTAAAAACATGTTGCTGCCATGTTAACTGAGACTCCTGCCTTCTAGTGGGTTGCCAGGTTTGTGTGCAAATATTTAATTTTAAACAGTCAAGTCCTTTCAAGTCATCTATCTCAAGCTTAAGTCAAGTCTCAAGTCATGAATACCAAGTCAAAGGCAAGTCAAGTCTTTCATCAATGTTAGTCAAGCAAGTCCCCACCTCTGACAGTAGCGCTCAGGAATGAACTGTGTTTTTTTACGGTGCTTGTCTGCTTATGGAAGTCAATGTTTGTTTGTGCTATTGTTAGGTGTCATCCATGAAGTATGTGCAGGGTTACTTTAATGTCTGCTGCAAAACAACAATTGAGATTAACTACATGGTGTTTGTAACCTTTTGAAGGACCAGTTTGTTTCTAAGATAGAAAACCCAACCAACTGCAGTGTTGCATTGAACGTTACTATTCTAGATAGGCTATCCTCTGCGTCCGCTAGCAAAAACATTAGCTTAAACGGCTAATGTTAGCTACATGCATGCTTAAAAACTATGGTAGCCCTGACTCAACATTTATCTCTGAAGTGCTCTTTTCAAAGCACTTTTCTAACTTTTTCATTCTGCGCCAATGTTAACTATTTGAACTCAATAATCTCATGTATGTCACCACAATGTCTGCGTAGTTCAGCTCTCCTTGTTTTAGAAGTTTTAGTCACACACATTTTTGTCATTGGTGTAATCGCAGAGTAGGGAAAAAATCTCTCAAAGACACAAGTTGCATGATGAAGCACTTTGTGAAAATAGTTCATTCCCTGGCAATCCCCGCTGCAGGCTCCTTCCAGTCTCCGTGGGATTTATTAATAGAGCAGTCTACTCTGCATAGGAGTGCAGGAGACGTAAACTCAGTAACAGTGATGGGTCACTGTTTGCTTAACTCATTCTTATGTATCATAGTTACCATTTCTCTTGCTGTCTTGATGGCATTATGTTATGAATAATAAACTAATATGAGGTTTACCACCCCCACCCCCTTGTTCCTTTTTACTCCAGCTTCCTTTTATAGCAGGGTAAGCACTATAAAAACATCTCTCAAACAAGTTATTCAGAATTTTAGAAACCACTTTGATTTAATTCAGAATCCATCAAGGGAATGTTTCATTGTTCATTGTTCACATTGATATTTATGTGTTGGATCTGAAATTACAAATTGAACTAGCTCCAATTGTATGTGTGGGAACAGCCTATCACTGCATTTATATTGTTGTTAATGGAGCCTGCTCTTTCTAGGCTTTATATTAAAATGTAACATATGAGATGTTGTCAGGGATTTTAGTCTTTGGAGCGTTCTCCCTGGAGTTTTCAAAGCAAATGGTTTTACAGTGGTGTCTTAACCTTTGTCACTTTAAGTTATTATCTTGTTTTATTAGTTTTATATTATTTAGGTTAAAAACGATTGATTTTTAACTTAATTTGTTTTTATTTTCTGCAGAGTACATGGCTTTGGAACACTAAAGAGTGCTGGTACAACTACCCTTACCAGGTAAAAGGATTTTAATACATCCATACTCAATTATCATAGCAAGATTACTTACTACCCACTTCTCAAATGTTTATTTTAACCTTGTTGCTTTTCGTCTTTTGCAGCCACTGACTGTGGACATCCATTATTATTATATACTGGAGCTGTCTTTCTACCTGTCCTTATTCTTTTCACAATTCACAGACATCAGGAGGAAGGTAAGAATGACTGCAAGACACCAAGACATACATCACGCATCTCTAATAACATGAAACGTAGAAAAAGATCTACAGTAATGCAAAATACGACACTTTAAATTACTTATTTTGGGATGGATACAGACATTTCTGTTCATTTCGGTTTTTGTTTATGCCATTGTAAGTAGTTCCGTCGCAAAAAAGGGACATCATTTTATTTGCTTGTGACCATATTTGCTTTCTGCCTCACTGATGTGTGAAATAACATAATATTGCGAGGGCATAAAGGATTAACACTTTTTCCAACATTCAGAAATTGTCTCAGTTAAACTTCACATAAACTCCCTCAACTATTTGTGTAAAGTTTTTCAGCAAAAATATTGTGCTCTTGTATCCCATACATGATGTGTGGTGTTGGAAAATATTCAAATATGATGTTTTTCAAGTTTAGCCTTTTATTTGTATAGATAATTATCCCAGGCAAGAATTCTTCATTGAAAGAAAAGTAATAGAAAAGAGGATTCGATTTAGGGATGCATTCATTCTTAATCCTAAAATATTTCATGGATCAGAACACACACAGTAGCACTAGTATTTTCATCTTTATATGCTTCCAGTAAGCTGCTCCCAGTAAGCTGCTCCAGCTGACATTAACTTTACATTCTTATTTACAATCAGATGTATACACACACTACTGTGTACTTTAAATAAAGTTCCAGATGTCCAACTTAGTCAGGGTTTCTAAGAACTGAGATCAGCTTGTTCAAAAATTCTTCAACCCACTTTCATCTCCTTTTTTTTGTCATGAATATTGCTTCACATTTGGTTCATCAAGTATCAATTTGCATGCCTTCCAGCCATGATCGTACTCCTGTCTCCAGTCCATCCCAGCTCTCCCCTCTCCACAACAACACTTCACTCACCGCACTCGCAGCAGCCCCCACGATGCCATGCTGTGTATGCCTTCACTCTGTCATCTCTTTGTTGACTGTTGGCATGTTGTCTGTTTTTGTTTCTCCTTTCAGTTTTTTCATGCACAGCACTACACTGAGGAGGTCCTCTGCATCCCCTGCCAATTCCAGTATGTTCTCCCTGCACACTCTTGCCTTGCTTTCATTCTGTATCTTGCATCATTACTCTTCCTTCTCATCTCCCTCCTCATGCTGTCACCATGTTGGACTGGTTCTGGTTGCTTTGAGCTGAGGCATTTCTTAAGATTTGCTAAAGGAATGCCTCCCTGTGCCACCTGTCTGCACCCCTAGTCTCCTGGAGTTTATTCAAGGCAAGCCCGAACAAAATGACAAGACAGGACTAAAGCTTTACTATTGTATACTTGACTTTTAAATACACTATGTTTCAGATTACTGCGAGCTCAGGTTCAAATGTCCTTTTGTTTGATATCTTTTTACTGAGATTTGATTCATTTTTAAACAATGGTGGAATGTAACTAAGAACATTTGCTGCGAGTACTATACTACACATGAGTATTTCTATTGTATTTTAACATAACCTATTTTAATCTAAAGTTACCAATCACTTTAAAATGCAAATAGAATTCTACATATGATGTGGTTATAAAATATAATACATTGTCATAAATAAAAACTACCATACAGTATATACAATCACTAAAAGGCAGCTTCACCATTACCAACTACAACAGTAAAATACTGCTTTCTGACTAATGCATCAGTAATAATGACATAATTGAAATACATTTTGTTTGTATGGAGTATGTTTTACTTAAGGTCTTGAATGATTCCCCCACCACAGATGTCAAACATATTTAGAAATGGCTATTTTCCAGTTTGTCACAATATAAATCATTACCAACACATTCAGTATTCAACACGTAATCCAATCACACACTTGCATCCCCACGGAGTGTTCGCCATTCCTCTGACACTGAGGGCGTGTTTCTTTTGTGGGTATAAATCATTGGCTTATCATTACTGTTAATACCTTTTTTAAAGCGCTGTGCCAATCCCAGTTGTACATGACGAACACAGTTCACAAAGACAAAGGTTTTATTTTAAAAGACATTGATCCACAATCATGACGTACACACAATGCGGCCGTTACTCAGTATTCAGTCGTCAGAAGTTGCCTGGCCGTTTTTAAGTACAAACTATTATGTATTACTGCAATAACAAACTGCTATGGTGTGTGCAGTCATGTCCGTCTGACTCAATCACACATCTGAACTGCACTAGATGCTATGAGTATGAACCGCATGCAGTGACTCAAACAGCCACGAGGCAGTGCTTACTCTAGTTGTGTGACATTTCCTTGACAACTTTGTCCCTAGGATTTCCTGATCATGTTCCTGCACCATGTTGCAACAATCTCCCTCATCACCTTTTCCTACGTGAACAACATGGCCCGAGTGGGAGCGCTGGTCATGTGTCTCCACGATGCAGCCGACGTGCTAATAGAGGTGAGGATGGGTGAGAAAACAAAAAGCCTGTGGATGGAGAGTTTGGCCATGGTTGGGTGTGTGAGTTTACTTAGCTTTATCTAAACTCAACTCCAGTCTAATATCATGTACATCATGAAACACTTAATCATACAGGCACAGTGCATGCTCTTCGTTGGAGACCATTTAAAATCTTTTTTTAGATATTTCAAAGATATCCATTTTAGAAATACTTTGAGAGATATTTCAAGCATTTGTTCCCAAGATTAATGATTGTTTCTTTTCTTTTTCTACAAAGGCTGCCAAAATGGCAAACTATGCCAAATGTCAGATACTGTGCAACCTCTTGTTTGCAATGTTTGCAATTATCTTCATAAGCTCCAGACTGGCAGTGTATCCTGTTTGGTAAGTGCAATTCTGTATATGTGTGTCATGGTTAGCATCTTTCTGAAGTCCGACTTCACTGAAATAGTCATTTGTCATTTATAATACAGTCACAGTCAGAGACCTAAACACATGGGCAGCACAGGTACTTTTGGCATCCCCAATGTGACTTGTCAGTGCCACAAAGATTTCAGTGCTTTTTTAACTACTTTCTCCACAACGGTTTGCAGACACACTTTGTGAATGTTGTTGCTAAGTAATAGTTACTATGGATACAGCAGCTTGAACCCCTTGAAGAAAGCCAAAGAAAACGGCAAATGAAAGGCAACACATTATGGTTTTCATCTTATTGTTAAAACATCAAAGGGTTTTATTTCTGATAAGGATCTTTCAGCATTTTGTGATGCTGCTTTACATTTATTTTCTTTCAGGGTTTTATGTTATTTCTTAACACAAATCAGTCTTAGTCCTTGAAAGTGTGCACAGCAGTGATCTTAAAGCCATCAGCGGCAGTGTTATCACACCTTTAGTGTGAAAACACGCCTGCAGGTGTCTGCTTTCCTTGATATACCATCGATTTTCGATCAGCATACAAATTATATTTAAGGCATTTAGATTCAAGTTTATTGTCAATAATTCAGGTTTATCTGAAATACAGGTGCTTGTAATTAGTATAACAGCCTTAAAACAGGTTTAGCCAATACCCCACAGCTCCACACCTGTGTTTCATTCTATGCTACACTACGTTTCAGTGAACCCCCATCACACCGATAATAAAGTTGTCATTACTGTAAAGCTGTTGCCATGGCTTCAGTATCTAGAGGATGATTCACAGACAGTCATTTGAAGGAATTGTCTCAGGGATATATTTAACCAGGCTTCTGATTTTTAAATCAATTAGTAATTTAAATTACATTTAGATTTGTTCGATGAATTGGACTATAAACTACTTGCACAGGTTTGCTAACGAACACACACATTTCTGTTTGTTTACCTGTACTATAATTACCCTGTTAAGAGAAAGCACTTTTACCCCCTTCTGTGTTTCTAATTGAACTCATCAAGTTAATTATCTCCCTCTCCCTCTGTTGCCATGGAAGGATTTTAAATACCACCTTGTTCGAGAGTTGGGAGATTGTAGGGCCATACCCGTCATGGTGGGTCTTCAACCTGCTTCTGATCTCGCTGCAGCTGCTTCACTCCTTCTGGTCCTACCTCATAGTGAAGACAGCGTGTCGAGCCATCTCAAAAGGGAAGGTGAGTCATTACACTCGGCTCCTCTTTCAAGTCCTCTGCATAATCTTTCCACTTATACCTGTTGTTGCATAATAGGCTGTTTTGCTGCGAGTTCATAAATAAATACTGTGTAGTGTTGTCAATAGCCACTTTTGACTGTCCCTTTCCATTCTTTCTGCTTACCTGCATCCGCCAAGGTGGGAAAATGGAATCCGTTGCATGTAAGTAGCCTCAAAAGGGAACATCATGTATACATTCTTGTACTGTGTGCTTAGATTAATTTCATGTCTTGGGCAGCCATGTATACGTTTCGTAAATCATGATTCTGTCAGTTTGTTTATCTAATCATTGCATATACTTGCAGCCTAGCTTCAGGTATGTTAATGTGCATTTGTCAGTTCAACAACGCTGTTCAGGACTGAAAGATCTTACTAAATATTTTACATATTACTATAACATTTTGCACCGATATTCACTTTCCCCCTTTTATCTAGTGCAACTAGCAGGTCAAATGTTCACTTATTTGGGGGAAATCCCAGCATCTACTGGCATCTATTTATCTAGCCAAATTGCCAGACATTTTCTGAAAAGATTTGAGGTTTTGCTGCCTCTCTCTTTTATGTAAATGTAATGTATTTATGTTAAGGATTTAAACTTAAAAAAAACAGTCAGATGCTGGGAAATTTTGATTATAATAATGTTGATTATTTTCTCACATAAAACAAGATTACATTTAATTTAGGTGAAAATGTTATCCAAGGCAACGTTCAATAAGTGCAATCAACAAAGAGGATATCAGTTAAGAATACCCTTTAAAAAAAAAACACAACATAAAGCAATCATTTGGACTAACAACTGCAAGATTGATCAATAAAGTTGCAGCCTCATGTACAGCGTGTAGCCTGATATTGATTGGCACAACACCTACTGGTTGGACACACAAAGGCCCATTTGTACTACCGCCACACATGGCTGCTGCAGATGCTGACACAGAAAGGAATTTTAATGAGAAAAATCTAATCTCCAATAACCCTCTGTTATTTCTGCAGGTGTCTAAAGACGACCGCAGCGACATCGAGTCCAGCTCTGATGAGGAGGAAACTTCCCCAGCCAATCACAAACAACACAGCAGCAGCAGCAGCAGCAGCAGCACCGCCAACGGGACCAACAAAAATCACGGGACCAACGGCTACCTGACAGGGGCCACATATCCCGACGAACACTGACCAATCTGATATCACAACACTGGAGCCATGCTACAGACACCATCCATCAGTGTGTGTGTGTGTGTGTGTGTGTGTGTGTGTGTGTGTGTGTGTGTGTGTGTGTGTGTGTGTGTGTGTGTGTGTGTGTGTGTGTGTGTGTGTGTGTGTGTGAGAGAGATAGAGAGAGAGTTTNACGCTCGCTTGATGGCCTTTAACATCGCACTGCTAAGTAACTAACTTCCTCACACACACACTCAGTGCAGGCAGCTCTGCTGATCTCTCCTCCCTGGCTGCAGGCTGATAACAGACAGTTGGGATCGAGGCGAAATTCTCTCTGCAGACCCATTCTCACAGCGTTTATCAACCTTTTTCTTACTCAATATCAAGCCACACTTATTGTTTTTACTTCGGCTGTGACTTTGTGTGTGCTCAAGGTGAGTTTGGCTGTGTTTCGCTGTGTATCGCGAAACAAGGAAACCACACGTCTACGGAGCTCAGCGCGATTCACAACGTCCCGACCAATCAGAGCACACTGTGCTCACATTGAGGGTGGGGGCTGGAGCTATTGGAGCTACAACGAGCCGTTAAAGGCAAAGAGTGAAATTCAGTGAATACACATAGTTTACAGAGATGCTGTATGAGAAACCAAAGTGATTTTGGAAAATTGCACAATATAAATCTATTCTAGTAGACCTCAACAATGGAATTATGATCAGTGGAAATGGCCATGACATGGGACCTTTAACTGGAATTCTGCCTTTTTGAACAGACTTTTTGATTGAGTCCTTGCTATATTGTCTGCAGTTCTAGGGTTAATATGAATCTAATATGATTGTCATTGGTCTAAATTAGATTTCAAATAATTAACTGTGTATGTAATGAAGATCATAGTGTGGGTTGAATCCATTTTCATAACCACTGTCTTTTAACTGATTTAAATGCGGAAACTGGGCTTATTCATCAGAATTTCGTATGACTTGACTTGACTTGCTTGACTCTCACCACAGTGACTTGGGACTTGCTTGATACTTGTAGGTCAAGACTTGAGACTTGCTCATGACTTGCACATGTAGGACTTACTCCCACCTCTGGCTACTGTACATACTTTGAAAAATGGATTGCATATTTAATGAAAGGCAATATTTAGCATTGGTAATGCTTTTTATTATCAGCTCATTTTCTGCTCTCCTTTCCTTGTATGATCCATTATTAAAGACTACTTTTTGCACTAGGCTTTCTTACAAATTGCCTTAAATGAGTCCCATACACCATCCATTTACTTGCCAGCCTCATGACTAGGCTCTAACCATGCGAGCAACCACAACATTTCCATGCTTGCCATGAACTTAATGTGAAGTAGAGAAAAATTGATTTGAACTCAGTGACTCATTCTAACCTTAAGTCATAGCAGCACTCTGGTGCTCATCTGTAAGTAAGGAAAACTTACCTTTTTAAGGAAACGCACTCCATAAGTAAATATGTATAGATAGAATGTAAATCTCCACCTGAAAGAAATAAGGAAAGAACATATATATATAATTAAATATACATTTCAAAATGTTCAACATTTAATTTGTTTAGATTTGCGTGACAATCTTTTGTTTTTTGGCCATAACTGCAGTGGTATTAGTAAGCTATGGGCTAATGTGGAGGGCATGCTCCTTAAAATGGGCCCTTAGCTGCGTGCAGTGTGTGTTCAACTATTTTCATTCAGCTTTTTTTTCCAATTAGATTTCTCATTTTTAATCCATACTATAATTTGGGATTGAGATTATTAATTTATAGAGAAAATCAAAGTGTCAATCAGCTAAAACCAATAAGCAGGTAGTAATACAGCTGCATCACATCCTGAAGTCAAAACAACATATAGTAAAAACACAAGTTTACCGGGGGATGTGAACACAATTTGTGGTATCCTACTTTTGTACTTCTGTTCCTACATTCAGCACACTGTGGCTCAGTGTGGCTGTCATGCCTGTAATCAAAGATTAGAAGTGGTGTGAGGTCCTCTTATTTCCTATCAAACTCTAACCGGGGTGAGTCACTGAACCTTCCAAATTGTGAGTGAAAAAGACAAGACACTCGAAAATGTCCCAGCCCATCTTGATCCGAGCTTTATATAATCCTGCACATAATGTACAGTAACTACGGCAACACAATGGTAGGGAACGTTATAATGAGGTCTGGGCTTACAGGCAGAGAAGAGAGTGCTTCAGCTGACACTTCAGTGATCAAAGCCTTGCTGAGCAGGGTGATGTGCATATATATATATATATATATATATATATACTGTATATATACTGGCTTCTAACAGTCAGCAACTGGGAGGAAGCATTTAAGACTGGTCTAATAGCAAGCCCCTTAACTACACATCACTGGAAGTTGCATCAGACAATACCATGTGTCTCTTTAGGGAACAAAAGCTAATTTGTCTGTATGGCTTGAATTGGAGACCCCCTGTTGGTTTATTTTGTGTTGTCAGAGCATTACACAAAATAGATATGTTTAGAATTGTATATAACATATTTTTTCCTATGGGAGCCTTAATTCTAGTATATATAAAACATACAATTCTGATTACAATGCAATAGCATTCAGGGAGAAGAACTGAGGAGGCACAAAACAAAGCTTCACTTCTGGGACATCTGATGACTCCCGTGGCAGTGACAGAAGCTGTATAAGCTGCCATGTGAGACAAGGTTTTGCATACTCAAAGGTCGTGCCGTGTGGTTTTTCCGGCTGAACTCAAATCAAACACATTTTGACATCCACAGCCTCCAAACACAACATGACACGAACAAAAAGAGAACAGGATAAATCAGCTTCTCCGTGCACGCACAACAGAGTTAGTCATTTTATGAGAATGTTTGTTCAAGGTTTTCAGTTGTAGCTCCGTAATGAATGCTGGAGAATCTCTAAGCATGTTAACACAAGGCCCACGGAGACCATTATTAACTGCTCTTTGTGCTTGATCAACACTATTGTAAAACCAAATTAACTAAATTAAAGTCTACCTGGCACACAGTAAAGACTGTTGCATGGCAACTGGTTCATCGCGCCTGCAAGAGTCTGTTTCAAGTGCTGTTGAATCGCTGTTATACATGTACAATCACAATGACTCACACCTTGAATTCCCGTGAATAGTTTTTCTTCCCCAGAGTCAGACACATATGTTGTTTTTTGTCATTGTGTGCTAAGTTTCTTTCAAGAAGTCTTGATTAAGATATTTTAAATGTTAAGCATATTATTATCATAGAGCTGCCGTTTACTTTCTATCATTATTGTTGCAGAAAGTAGCTAAATACACTTTTACAAGCCGGATATTATCTGTGGCTAGCCAAATGATGTGTAGTGTTTTGATGAACTTGGCCTGTACACCAACTAAAAACTGTAGGTAATGTGGCACAATAATAGGAGGTTTATTTAAAGTGCTGTGGTACATGACAGCATATTTTATAATAGCTTGAATACATGAATGAACCATTCACCATATAAGATGATCATCTATATATCATTACTAACAAATGTAGCTGTTTGCAGAAGGCAGCAATTGTAGCGGGGTGGGGGGACTTTGATTTGATTAAAAACTCAGAATGAGCACAGATCTACTTTTTGTAATAAAATGATATCAAGCGGACAATGTTTGATCATTTAATTCCATGTTGTCACTTTTCCAGGTTGGTAGTCTGAGTACCAGCTGGCTGCAACTATTTGCATTTGGATGCTTTAACATCATAATTAAGTCATGAAGCTCACGCTTTGATAAGCATTAAGTTGTGCAAAAACCTTGATATATATTTAGTCACTGCCTTTACTCCCCAGGCAGTAATGGCTGTTCCTTCCACCTTTGTTTACTCGTCTAATTTGCGTTTATTACCAGGCCTCATCAAAAAAAATCAAAATGAAAAAGCTTGTTCATAGCCAGTTATTTAAATGTGGTAAAAGATGACTGCAACTAATTTAAGAAAAACACGGGTGTGGCTGTCCTCCCTAAGAACACATGTTAATGGCTCATCTCTCAGCTGTCCTATAAAAGCTTTGGCTGAACACAAACAAGCTTATTAACTGCCGGCTTGGTGTCTGCCGAGTTGCCTTTAGAGAGGTGTGCAGGCGGAAAGTTATGAAAATCATAGACCCAACATATCAGTCACAGGAAAAAATAAGGAAAAGCAAGAGCATTCACTTTTGGGAAATGCAGTTATTTTCTTTTTTGCTAAGAATAAAATGAGTAAATCTGTTTTTTGTTATTAATCTTCTCTACTAACTCTTGGAAGGAAAGGGAATTCATATATAACAATTCCTTAAAATATCAAATATGGTTGTAATATATTATATCTGACATTTTTTTTAAATCTAAAAAACATACGTCAAAACCTATTGAAATATATTGTACATCATACATTAACTGAAGCCAAAGATAGACATTACAAGATCAAAATAGTAACTACTTTAGTAACATTAAGTTTTGTCAAACAAATACACTGTATATCTTATCACATATTACATATCCTATTTATGTTCTTTGTACTCAGTGAAGTAGAGAAGAGAAAGGATTGAGGAAGATGAGATGAGACAAGAGGGAGTATTGAGGACATTCAAAAAATGTTTCTTCCTCAGCCCGCCCTGACCAACTGATGAGAATAGGGACTTTGAGGTGAAACTACACTGAAAAAACTGTTCATATTAATTTGTCATTTACTGTAGTATCATGTTCAATTTTGTAAACAGTGGTAAACACCTTTTAATCTGGATATGTTTACTTGCAATGAACCTGTTTTAGGACATTTTGGAAAGATTTCAGGTTTCTGTTGTAAGAGAGAGGTTACTGTGGATGTCTTGAAAAACAAAATCAATACTTATACTTGTTAGAATTTTCTTTGTTTTATGTACAATATATCTTGGGAAAAAAGAGGCAGTAACAAAAGCTGGTAGAAAAACTCTATGCAGGGTCTTCATTATTTCCAGGCCACATGTGCACTGCTCTTCTCTCTGCTTGCATAATGAAAAGACGAGACAACAGATCAGACGTCTGAAAAACTGATAGACAAAGAATGCTATCAGTCTGCAACAGCTGTGCATGAACGCCTAATTACAGCACCATCGCTGCTGGAAGGCCTGAAGCCGGACGGGTTTGGAAAATTGCACTGTAAGCAAATGAGACAGTATACTTAGCCAAACTACTGCAACAGCCTAATATCTCCTGCAGTCAATTATGCTGCATGCTGATAACGGCTTTGCTACAATTGTTACTTAGAGAGATAGAATGCCAGCTAATCATGTTCAAAAAGCTCAAGCAAGGAAACAGTTTATTTTCAGATTCCTGTGTGATGTTGTAACAGGAGTCCAGTGGTTTTACCAGCCAGCAGTGTTGTACTGAGTGAACAGCAGCCTCAGGCGGAGCAGAGGATGTTGGCTCCCTGTGTCTCAAACTGCCAGATTGGCTGTACTGGTGTCTGACATGACTGTGCTCTGACAGCCACGCTCGCTTGATGGCCTTTAACATCGCACTGCTAAGTAACTACAATTTCCCTGATGGCAAATGCTTTACTAAAGATTAGCCATTTCTCCATTACAGCCTGAGAGGGTTTGTTGCCTGCACTGGGACACGTTTGACTATTATCGCACAGCAGCATCAAAACTCATGGGCCATGGAAGATACAGTGATGTTTTAACAAAACTAAATACTATTGTGATTGCTGTTGAAGTTTATGCTTTTGTTTGTGCGTAAAGCATAAATGGTTGGTGGATTAACTGATTAGTCAATCGATTGAGAATGCATTGGCAACTTTGGCTACCTTTGTTTCAGTAATTTTTCGGGCAAAAATGCCAAACATCTACCGGTTTCATCTACCAATACTGTGAATTTAGGAACCTGTATTGTTTATATAATACATTTAAGCTGCACATCTGCTTTTTGACTACTATCATTTCTGGTAATTGGCCCATAAAGTTAAAATCCTATTAGCCTAGTAGTGGCTTTTTAATGGATATTCTACACTACAATGAGGATTTGCTGCTTATCTTTTTATTTATAACATTTTTAACAGAACGTATTTGGGTTATGTTCTGTTGATTTGCCAAAATACATTATTCTGGGACCATTTTTAAGGGGCATTTACCCTTTTTTGATATTTGGTAGATTTGTAAATTATTATTTGTTCTTAACAAAAGTTTTACATTACTGCCACCTTCTTATAAAATATGTTTTTGTGGATGAAGCACTGCAGCATTAATTACTTGTCTCCCATAGATAAATAGCCAACAAACAAAAGAGTGATACATGACAGCAATAAAGCAGATAAGGTCTTCACTAATTCTGGAGAAATTATTTTTCCTAAACTTTAATGTTATAACATGCATAGAAAAGTGGCTTGCATCTCAGTTAGGGTTTGCTGTATGATAAGGTGTTAAAGCTGATTTTCCTTACATGCTTTCACAGAATCGTGCGAGGGTGCTGGGCTTCTCCTGGTTTCGGCGTTGTCTGAACCAGCGCTGGATGGTCCGCACATCCCAGTCGAGCTGTTTGGACAGACCCTCCAACCTTTTCTCGTCTGGATGCTGGCAAGACAACATAAACACGGCATATCTTAGTTTTCATTGTGGCACACATATCATTAGATAAAACATACAAAATATGAAAAGAACACATGCACCACCTTGGTTATAGCAGTGAAAACCTTCTCCAGTATAGCGTTGGGTTGTGCTTTCTGTGGCCCGTTGGTTTGGATCTTCAGGCCCATGGCACATGGTCTTGCAATAAACCTGCAATTAAAAATAACATGACATGTATTGTTAGTATTTAGGGATAGGGACACAAGGCACCAGGAAGCACATGCATATCAAAACACTCTTTGCAGGTGCTGGGAAACAGTTGTCACATGGACACGTGCATCTGCTTGTTACCAATTCTTCTTTTACTCTAACAGGATATGACAATGTTTTGAACACAAATTGTCTTCCCAGGTTATCTTGAGCTTCTCCGGTTGAAAAGTCAGTATCATGTCATCATATCATGTCATATCATAGTGTGTGTATTTCTGATTATCGTTTGGTAAAACACAAGCTGGGATGCAGTAATATGCAAGTTGCTACCAAATGTAACTATCTAAATAAACTGATGTATGCACAATCTCATGGATTTAACACATTTTAACTGAGACATCATGACTGGTGCCTTCACTGTTTCAGCAGATCTTCCCTTTATAAATGATCAAACTATGTTTTTAGGGACAAGTACTTAACGTGTGAGGGGTGTAGTGGGGCCTTACTCAATACTTATAAAAATACTTCTGACCCATATATGCATGACTGTACCATCATGGCTTGATTATTGTACAATAATAATATAAGATGGTCATATCTGGAGCAGTAGAGTGACAACAAACCACGCGGATAAGTAAAAGGAGACGGTCTCCGGCATGGCTCTTTGTCTAAATTCAGGTTTGAGCAGAGAGGACAGTAACTGGATTTGGGCAGGTATGGTAACTTGGCCGCACTGTGAGTTTGTATGTTTGCTCTGACAGATGCATCATATGCAGACAGCGCGTAACGCTGCAGGCCTGCAGAAACAAGGATGATCAACCGTGGTGATTTGTGGGCTAACCAGATAAGATGCCATTGTTTAGATAACAGATAGATATACATGGACAGCGGGGTGTGCTGCCTGCATCATCCACCGGAGCATTTCCTCAACACAACAACCCGTACCACAGCCACCTGGATTATCGCGTACTTAGACCCACCTTTCAAAAACCAGCCGAATCATAAAGATGCAGAATGCTAAAGGACAAGCCAGATACAGGTCCTCGGCTTGCGGGAACGTTGCTTCATCTGTGTTTTTTAAATCAGCCCAGGTTACATTGTGGGGGAGCCAGAACCTCTCGTTCCAAAACCACGCCAAAATACCCGCCATCTCCCTGCAGCAGACACCGTAACCGGGGGGAAAGAGAAGTTGATGGCCCGCTGTGTCCCGGAGGTCTCTCACAGGCGATCTGACCGTGTACCGTGGCTGATGATGAGATATCCGTGCGAGCTGTGCGTCCGCTTCCCCTCAGCTCTCCCAGTGTAGGGAAGTAGACTCAATCAGCTCCTCAGCGGCTGATTGGTGCGTTGAAATGTCAAGCAAAACACTCGCTTTACGTTATGCCGGCTATAACGGCGTAATAAAGGTCAACCACGTTTTGTGTAGCTTATTTAGAGTAACACTAGAAGTGTATGTTTCCTTATGAACCCACTACAGAAGGCTAAATGTATTTTGTTTTGTTTTTAAAGCTAGTTTTACACGTCTTGTGGTTATATTATCGTAAGAAAACCCATACTAGCCTGCCATGTGAGGTGTCATCTTCAATGCACTTTTATAACTGAATTCAAACTGATCGTTAATCATTTTTTGTGAAAGTTAAGCAGAATTTATGGCAACACTAAAGCGATGGGCTACATCATGTTGGTAAACAACGCCATCTACAGACAGATTTGATGTAGTTGACCTCTGAGATGGGAAATTCATAAATGATGTGACAAAGTAAAAACAAACTTTTCTATTTTTAGCATTTGGTATATATTTTGTGCACCACCAAACTATATTTATTAATACATATTTATATTTTAAGGAACCTCATAACTTTATTTTTAGTTGTTGGTCCTCTTGAACTTTATTGCATTTTACAATCCAAATAATATAATTCAAAAATCATGCTTTAACAAAGAGTGAGGTTCATTTTATTTTTACATTGTATTTGGAGTAGTATTGTGTTGTAAAGGCCTTTTCGAATAAACGAGAATTAGATTCATGCTTGCTACACAACCTTATTTCTGATTTGATGATAAGGTAAACCACTAGCTAATTTCAATACATCATAATCAAAAGCAATAAAAACGAAGATTGTATTAGGGATGACAATACAAATATGTAAAGGCGCCATCTACCGGCCATTGATTGCAACGTCACTTGCAGTTTTGCCTACATGTGACATGAAGTCGTCACACAAACGGCTGCCAAGTCATTTTACACATTTTATTTAACCAACGTCTACTCTAGACACTCTTTTAACAGAATAGTCGCTATGTACATTAATAAGACAATAATTAATTAAAGATAGGAATTGCCGCCTTTTGAACAACCTGTCAGTCTCCCTATGGTAACAGTGATTTTTATTCATTGTCTTCCTGTGTGTATGGAACCATTGTGTAGTCAACTGGCATGTCAGTGCGCGTGCGGTCCGTTATTTTCCGGGTTGTGTCACTGTCACATCGCCAGCTGACATTTGTAGTGAGGAAGGGAGGTCAAATTTGACTCTCTCTCTCTCTCTCTCTCTCTCTCTCTCTCTCTCTCTCTCTCTCTCTCTGTATCTCTCTCTCTCTGTATCTCTCTCTCTCTCTCTCTCTCTCTCTCTCTCTGTATAATGTGAGGTCTTTACAGATGTCTCTCTCTCTCTCTCTCTCTCTGTGTCTCAGTATAAGCAGTGGTGCTCGG